GCTTCTCAAAGTTGGACAAAACAAGCCACTTTCGGGCTGGAAAACCTCATTGCTTTGTTTTTTCTTGTGCAAAACCACAGCCCGTAGCCGGGCAGTTATCCCATATTCCCAGGGCCTGGGAACGCTGCGGGGCTGATCCCTGCTTGTCTCCGGCCTCCAGCCCTCCCTCACTGCCCCTTCCCAGGTGTCCTGCCTGCCCCTGGGACTACCTGGCGCACCCCACGCCCCCTGGGCTGGGGAGCATGTGGTGTGCCCCGTGGCCTGCCTGGCTGGCTTCCCCTGGGCGGTGCAGGCTGGTCCCGAAGGGATGCTGGCTGGGGCCGTGGGGTTTGGCAGGGCACCAGCGAAGCCCCTCTGAGCAGGTGGAGGTGATGGGCTGTGGTGGGATGCTGCAGCTTAGGTGGCAGGGGCACACTGGGGACCCAAATGCTTCTTGGGTCCTGGGGCTCCTCTGTCCAGGGTGCAGTGATGGCAGAGCTGTGCCGAAGGCTGGGGCGCCATCACAGCCACGCCACCTGAGCGCCCTGTGCCTGGGCCTTCCCTGGGGTGGAAGGATCCTGCCCCCATGGGGCCAGCCACGGTGGGTCTGCGGTCCTGCGACGGCCCTGTGGCAGGGCTGGATCCCAGCAGGGTACGCTGCCAGTCCGGCTTCTGGAGCTTTCCTCGTGCCTTGGTTTCCCCAGCTGTAAGGAGCAGCCTTGGCCCACTCAGGACTGGCTGGCTGACTGGAGCTTGGTATTTTCTTTAAAATAATCTGTGCCTGGGCCACGTGTGGATGGCACTGAGTGCTCGGAGCCCTAGCAGAGCTGTCGCCTGTTCTTGCTGTATTGAACTCACCTGGCTCTGAACCCGGGGTCCTGAGCAGTGTGGGACATGTGGTCCTGTGGGCATCGCTCCATCTGGACAGGGTGGTTTGCTAAACCTCTGGCAGTCAGTGTTGCCCCAGGGCAGCTCCAGGCTGTGGGTGCAGGCAGGAGGCCCTGGTGAGGGAGCGGGGGAGGAAGAGAAGGTTTGGTGCCCCAGTGCCGCCATGCACAACGGCAGAGCTCAGCTCCAGCAGGATCAGGCCCTCTGTGCTTGGTGGCGTGGGGGCCTGGCTGGTGTGCCATTGCAGTGCCCGGCCAAGGGCACATTTCGAACTCAGCCCCACACGGGTGGCTCAGGGAGCCCTTTGGGCTGGCGAGGGATAAACCCTGTGTATTCCGGTGGCTGCCTGGCCCTGGGTACGCTGTCGGCAGGCTGTCGGGAAGCTGCCAGTGCTGATGATGCTCATTTTACTGTCTGTAAGTCCTGTTAACCCAGTGTAACTCCATTAACTTTCATTTAAACCAGCAATTAACTTGACCGTGGCTGTTGGTCCTGTGCCCACAGGTGCTTCTTGTGGTGACTGGTACGCACCCCCCAGCGCACAGCCTCAGGTGGGAAATGGAACGCTGACTCTGTTGGAGGGCTGTGGACTTTGCTGGGGGACAGAGCCACCTGGGCTGGCCCTTGGCCATGCTGCGACCTGTGGGAGGGTGTGGAGCTCAGCACCCCTGGCTTGGGTGTTGCCACTGTCCCTAAGATGTGAGGGACCCACTGGAGCTGTGTGCTGGAGGGCAGTGACAGCTCTGCAGCTGTGTGGGTGTCCCAGTGGCTCCCGGTCCAAACTGGGCTGCTGGGAGGAGCAGGGGCAGGGGCTGAGTGCCTCTCCTGACCCCAAAACTGCTCCTGGGGACACTGGAACCACAAGGGTCTGCAGGACTGTGGGGCAACACTCCCCTCATGCCTTTGTTAGTGCAGTGCCAGCAGCGAGGCCCCCCCACCACGTTGCTGCGATGAGCATATGAGACCTGGGGATTTCAGCTCAGGAAGGACGTGTTGGGTTTTTACCATTTTGTTTCTTCTGGGGCTCACCAGTTCCCAAAGCCGGGTGGCTTAGGGCTGACCACAGTGTTTGTCTCCAAACAGGCGCTGAGTGCCCAGACCTGATGTTTGGCAAGGGAGAGAAAGGAGAGCAGGGAGCGAACAAACTGGGCACACCACACTGGCGTGAAACAGCTCCCAGCTGTCCCCTTGGCCACGTCCTCTCTAGGTTTGGGGTGGGGGCCGGAGCAAGACTTCTGGGGGGGTTTGGTTTGTCCCATCTAAAGAACAACCCCAGTACCAAACCAGCGTGGGTACACCTCACTTTCTCTCTTCCCTGCCATAGAAGACCCTGATGGGGCCGGGCGGGCGACAGGGCTGCGAGGTACCAACAGAGCTGGTCTGTGGAACTTGGCCAGGAGGACAGAGGGAGATTGATGTTTGCTTGGGCGCTCGGCCCTCAGCTGTGGGCTCTGCCTGCCCCTGCACCAGCTGGGGACAAAAGCGCTGGCCCCGGATGGCACAGGGCTGGCGTAAGCCCCCCAGGACAGCTGGCAGCTCTGTGAGACTGGCGCCCGCCCAGCAAGCCAGCACGAAGGGGCCGTGCAGGGAGGCTCGCCTGTCGGGATGCTCCCCCGTGTTCGGGTGTCTGAGCTCCACCACAGAGCCGGTGCCACCCCCCGGCCCCACATCTGCCCCAGCTTGGGTCCTGTCCCCTGGCCAAGCCTGGATAGGGTGGAAAGGAGCTGGGGTGACCGCAGGGAGTACCCCACAGAGCTGGTGGGGGGAGAAGAATGATAGGGTTTGGGTCTGGGAGTTCACAGGAGGCTCCTGCCTGGCCCTGCTGGCATCTCCCACGCGGGAGATAAAACCTGACAGGCACCACCAATTATGTCAGAAAAATCAACCGTGGAGGTAACCATATCTGTGTGTAATTGCAGGTCAGGGCTCCTGTCCCCACAGGGCTGTTGTGCCCTCGTCCCCACATCCCTCCCTCACATGGGGGGCCCTGCTGGGAGCTGGAGGTGGCTGCAGGGTCCTTGGGAGAGACAAACCCTCAGCACACCACTGAAAATCCCAGAAAGGCTTTATTTGCGTATGAAGATTGATGCTGTTTAAAAACCCATTGCTGCTAGAAGGTGCCTTGGCCACCCGGCACCTGCGGGAGCTGCCCGGGCGCTGGCACCTCCCTGTTCAGCGCTGCCTCGGTGGGCCAGGTGCTGGGTGAGCTGAGGAGACGAGGCGCACCCCTTCCTCCACCTCCGAACAGGGCTGCCCCAAAAACAAGCCTTGAAAGCCTGACCTGTGCACATGATGGGGCCTCACGGGGACCCCCACAGTGGGGAGGCATGCACGGCAGTGGTGGTGGGATGGAGCTGGCTCAGCCTGTCCTGGTGGGTCCCAGGCTTGACCTGGGGCCAGCTCTCCTGGGTGCAGCTGAGCGCTCTGCGGGGTTCAGGGGGCGGGGGATATGGGGATTTGCTCCTAGTGAGTTGTGGGAGGGAGAGGGTGATGCCTGCCCGAGGAGTAGGGCCAAGGCACCATGGTGGGGTTTTCTGCTTGGGTCTGGCTTCAGCAGGTAGTGCTGGCCTCCCATCCGTGTCCCCCTGCCCTGCAGGGTCCCTTCTGCCATGACAGGCGGCTCACCGGGGCTCTCGCTGTGCCATGGTCCAAGCACCATATCATCCAGGGAAAGGGGCGAATCCTGTTTCCATCCTGCCCTGCCTGGAAGACCCTAGGCCTTCTCCTGTGCCTGGGGCCATGGGGAGATGGACCCCACAGGGCTGCAAGACCCTCCGGACTGGCTGTGAGCAGAGGGAAAGGAGAGCATCAACACATTTCTCTCTGTAGGACCTTTATAAACGTCACCTACTGCTTTTATTTCCTGCTAAGCACAGAGGATATCCAGGTCTGGAGGGCTGCAAGCCTTGCTGAGCTTGTCCTGTCAAGGTTTTGGATGCTCTCCTCTCCAGTGGAGAAGCAGTGGGGGTGAACCCGCCTGGGATACGCTGTGCCTGGGTGCCGGGGTGGGGAGAAAGCTGGGGAACTGGGCGGTTTTCACTTCTGGTCTCTGCTGGCACCATGATGCCATGGGAATGCAGCAGTCTGGGGATGCCACCACTCACTCTGCTCCTCCAAAGGGATTGGCCAAGCTGCCTCCACTACTTTCATCCCAAAAAGTCTCCCTTGGAAGACGGGCTGTGGGCCCTACCCTGCAGGTAGTGCAGTGCCAGCTCCCCAGTGCCAAGCGGCTCCTGTCTGCAGCTGCAATGGCCGTCTGCGCCCCTTCACCACCAGTGGGAGTGGGCTTGCCTGCCGCCTGCCCCGGGCCTGGCATCTCCTCAGGGCCTCCTGCCCAGTATCCCTGTCACAGTCCTGCCTGCGGCCGTGGGCGTCATGGGCAGCTTTGGGCTCTGCAGGGAGGGAAGCATCCCTGACCTGCTGCTTCGTTGTGTGTTGGAGCCGGCTGGGGGCCAGAGGGGCCCCGTCCATTGCTGGGCTGGGGGCTGTGGGGCCATAGCCAGCACCCCACACAGTCCGGGCGCAGGCAGGGGCGCTCCCTGGTGTTTCCTGCAACCAAGCTCCAGGCCAGGGGAGGAGAGAGGACTGCAGCCTCTTGCCTGGCTGCTCGTGGCCTATGGCTCAGTGATGCAGCCTGGGAAGCAGCAGCCTGACACGGAGTGTGCAGAGGAGGAGGGGGTTTGGCTGGGAAGTGGTGTTCCCTGGCCACCAGCTATGCAGCATCAGGGGCTCCCCTGTGCCATGGTAGCGCAGCATCCCTGGGTTCCTGGGGCTCCCTCCAGCAGCACAGCATCCCTGGGTACCACAAGCTCCCCTGTGCCCTGGCAGCACAGCATCCCCGGGTACCTGGGGCTCCCCAGCATCACAGCATCCTTGGGTACCCAGAGGTGACACCATGCAGGAGGCAGGAGGGGTCTCTCTCTTCAGCTCACTGTGGGGACCTGGGGTTACTGATCCCCCCTCGGTGCCCCAACATCCAAAGAGACACGGGGGCTGCCTTATGTCCAGGCTCCAAGGTCCAGCCCAGCTGTGCCGCTGCTCTGGGACAGAGGGAAGCACGGTTCTGGCTGAGCTTGTGGTGCCTAGGCACACTTGGGGAGTCAGACTGAGATGCAGTCATGCTTTTCCAGGCCTCAGGGCACCGAGTGGATGTCCTCTGAGCGCAGCACTTTGTAGATGACCCAGTAGAAGACGTTGAAGACCAGGAAGGTGAAGGGGAAGACAGCTCGGGAGATGGTGTCGATGCGCTTGGCCCGGTCAATGTAGCGCCTGTGGAGGCTCTCCCCTTCCCGCAGCAACATGCTGGCTGGGGAGGGCCTGTAGATGCCAGGGCTCTCCCCAGCCCCGTCCTTCGGCTGCAGGCAGTGGCCCAGCCCATAGCCTCGCAAGTAGAAGCGGCTCTCACGGACAAGCTCTTCCTCCTAGTGAAGGAAAAGGCTGTCAGCCGGGGCACCCCGTGGGCACCAGTACTGCAGGGCGAGCAGGCGCTCGTGGCTGCATGTCCCACAAACCTCCCCCGCTGACCAGTACCGTCACTTAAGTGCCCGGCACAGGGTTAGGTGCTTTTTCAGAAATCCCGAAGCGCGCAGGCAGAAGCACAGGGCTGGCAGGCTGCGGGCAGAGGCAGGCAGCGGTGTGTGCGGGGTGTGGGGGCGAGCACTGACCGACTGCCTTGTCATCTGGCATGTGTTTTAAGGGTGCATGCAAGGGCAGCCCCGACCCTGATAGCCTGACCCTGATACCCTGCAGCCTCCTCCCAACTCCGGCTTGGGAAGCCCAGCTCTCCAGCAGCCAGCGGGATGGGGATGAACAGGGGCAGGGGGAGATAGACACATGGGGGTGCAGGGCACAGGGGTGCAGGGTGCACTGGGGTGCAGAGCACATAGCGGCGCAGGGTGCATTGGGATGCAGGGAGCTTGCGGGTACAGGCACTGCTGCAGCAGCTGTTTTTGCTGCGGGGTGGAAGCGTGCCTGTGCTGGTGCATAGGAGGGGGCAGGCATCTTGCTGGGGTTAGAGCTGGGTAGGGGTGCAGCAGCCTGGCTATCATCAGGGCTTCAGGGCCTCCCAGTCCCTCCAATGGCCCAGACCCCCGTTTCCCCTCACGGGTGCTTTGGTGGGGGCTGCCCAGTGCAGCAGAAGAGGGAGGCTAAGAGACTTGTACTCCTTGCCAGTCTCTTTGCCCTTGCTTACCACATTTCCTGATGCTGGCAGGGGGCTGCGGGCAGGGTAGCATGCCCATGAGGCTGCGTGCCCCATGATCAAGCCTGCAAAAGTGCCATGAAAGCCGGGTGCCTGCCCTCACCCTTGGGTGGTGGCTCACTGACATCGCTGGAGGCACAGCCCTGCTCACCTTGCAGCCCCTCTGGTACCAGTGCCTGCGCTCCTCCCCGCTGACAGCTGTACATCCTTAGCAACTCGCCTTGTCCTGCTCTTTTATCCTCCTGGGAGTGTGTGTGTGGGGGGGTTGCATGCAAAGATTTGGCAAGGGACCAGCACGCCAAGCCCGGGCTGCACATCTGGCTTCTCACCAAGCCCCCAGGCCACTCAGTCGCTGTGGCTCATCCCCTCTCTGTCCCACCAGTACCAGATCCGGCTGCAGTGGGTCTCTTCTGCCAGGGCGTGCTGCAGGCCATCCCCTCGCCTCACACCATGCCCACACATAGCCTGGGTGCTGGACCAGCAGTGCCCTCCAAACTGCGGAGAGCAGCCTCCTCGCTGAGGTCAGCCTGCACAGGCGCTCAGCCGGCAAGGGGGCTCTCATGCGGAGAGCTTGCACCCTGGCATCTTTATTTAACTCTGCAATCCGCCAGCTAAGCAAGATTTCTCAGTGGAAAGAGCAGCAGCAGCTCAAATTGCTGAGATTAGTTCTCATTTGCAGTGGAGTTTTGTCCCCCTGCCCCAGGCTGAGCGCTTGTGCCCCTCCTGGGAAATGCAGTGGGGGGGGAGCCAGCGTGCCCTGAGTGCTTTGGGGAGCAGCAGCTATTCCCCTCCCCAGCCCGGGGAGCCTGCGGGCCCAGGCAGGGTGTTTGGGGGAGGAGATGGCAAACTGTGAGGGCTGGTTCTCCCAGCTGGGTCTCTGTGGGCTGGGGCAGCCCAGGGGGTGCTTACCGGGGGCCGAGGCCGGGTGCAGAGAGCTCCCTGGGCCTGGCTTTGTGGCGTCTGGGGAAGGGATTTGGCATTGGGCTGCGGCACCCAGGCTGGGCTGCATCAGGCAGTGCCAGTACAGGAGCTGTGAGCAGCGGGGCTCTGCTCCGGTCTCTGCCCAAGCAGCAACCCGGGGTGCTCCTGGCTGCACCCAGTGCATTGCCAGTGGCGCCCCGGGGTGGCTCTGCAGCCTTCACCTCAGGGCAGGTGCACTTCGGTCTGTTTTAAGCCGCCAGATGGTTCCTGGGTTTGGCAGAGGCTCTCCCTTCTTGCCCTGGTTGGGTGGGTGTCCATCTCCAGGGGTTGGTGCTCAGGGGCTGTGAAAGGCAGGGAGCAAGGCAGCATGCTGGGGGGAGCTGGGAAGCCTCTCCCAGTGTCCAAGGGCTGATGATGGCAGATGAGAGGCTTGGGGCAGCCCAGCTGGGCAGGGAGGCGAGGATGTACCAGACCTGATCTCCTCCCTGGGGCTGCGGTCACCCCCCAGCCTCTCCCTGCCAGCCTGGGAGCCTGCCCTGCCCCACCGCTCCTCCCTACACCTCGAGCTGCGAAGTGCCCATGTGCCCTGAGCAACTGCTCACGTTGGATTTACTGCAGGCAGCTGCCAGTGCCTCAAACCTGCCTGTGCCAGGAAAGCTGGGCAGGCAGCACCCTCACCCTGCCAGAGGTGTGGGCATGGCCCGGGGAGCTGGGCAGCAGCCCAGGAGAGGCCATCAGTCTGCCCCAGCATCACTCACCCCTCAGCAAAGGGGGCTTCACTGCTCCTGCTTTACAGAAGAAGAAACTGAGGCACAGAGCAGGGTTGTCTCCAGGGAAGTCTGCTCCATTCCCATCCCTCTCTCAACTCTCTTTTCAGTCCAGGGAGCAGCAGCTCCATCCTACGGGCAAATCACTGCCTTGCTTCTTCCATGGGCCCTTGCTGGCCCCTGGGGCTGGCTCCTGGGGGGCTTGTTTTGGGGAGGGGGGATGAGGCTGGCCGGGGGTCGTGCTTTACCCAGGAGCTGGAGAGCTGCGAGAGCGTTGCGTAGGTGTGCTCGCCGCCGTGCCGGCCGCTCAGCTGCCGCAGGGACTCCAGGCTGGCCGTCCCGCTGCTCAGGCCCTTTTGGCATCCGACAGTGCGCACCAAACAGAAACAGGACAGCAGGTGACCGATGGCTCTGCCCTGGCCCCAGGGACAGCGGCTCTGGGTGCCAGGATGGGGATGGCGGGGACATGGGGGCTCTGTGGGGAGAGGAAAAGCTCCCCCAGCAGTGCCTGGGCACCAGGATCTGCCTTCAGCACGTGCCGAAGGGATTTGTCTGCACAGGGCGCTGCAAGGCTGTGTGCTGTGTGCATGTACGTGTGTTTTCCACGGAGGTCTGTTGCCTCGCGGTGTGCTTATGGCAAGAAAACGAGAGGGGGGCAGCCACATGCTTTCCCGAGCATCTCGCAGGCCTGATGCCTGCGCCAATGGGCTGATGGAGGGGAGGGCTGTCCTGCAAGCATGGAACCCTGCCTCTCCAGGCCCTGCTTGCACTCTCGTCTGCAGCCCAGACCCTATCCCTGGGTGCCACCAGGTCCCCTTGGTGCTTCACTGCCCTGACGCAGCAGTGAGCCCTTGTCACCGCTACAGCACAGTGAGGAGCCCGGGTTTGGGGCTGCAGGTAAAGGGAAAGGCTATTTCCCCCCACCCTCACTGTTTATTTTTCTACTTTTTTACAGGGTGCAGAGCCCGAGGATGTCCCAGCAGGAGGAAGACGGCACCCTGGGTGTGTTTGTGCTGACAGGGCCTGGGGACCCAAGGGTGCTGTGCACTGTGCTGCTCAGGCAGGCAGAAGGACTACAATGCCCACGGGTCCCTGGTGCGCCGCAGAGGCCAGCCGCAAGCCCTGGGCAGTGGTACACAGCCCGGCACCGAGCC